AAAAACGCCACACAATTCATTTTGTAAGTTGGCAAAAATAATCTACAGTGAAACTAACATTATACGCATTGCCACATTAACAACGGAAACATCAAATACGACCATATGATAGCACTCAAAATATTCCTAACATTCTCCAAATAAGAAAACAATATCACGGTGTAACAAATCGCAAAACAAAATGATTCATTCCTATGTAGTATGTACTGTACCTGAACAAACCAACTTCCTCTAAGACAAATTGATCGCAAAGAGATTGATGATTGCATGGAAGTTTGTCTGCCTTGTATGTGGATGTATAAACAACATCAATGATTTATTGTTAGTTTGTTTCCGTATCTGTGCGTACATGTATGTAAGTATGTTTTACTGCCTTGCATGTTGTTACAGTTTCTGCGTCTGTCAGATCCTGATTTTTAAAGAATAATAAAAAAAAATGTTTGATTGTCTCTGTTTACGTATCTGTATATGCTTCTGGGAACTTTAAATAAATTTTTATACAAATAATTTATGGCTAATAAATATTAAAACCAACGTTTTGGTTTCCATTATCGTTTATATCATTTCGGTTAATGTTAAACATGATCTATATCATTATCTGGGGCATCATTATAAATATATATATATATATAATATTTATAGATATCATTGTGTATAGGAAAATATATAATATAATATAAAGCAGTAAAAATAAACATCAAACAGATGAGTTATTGACAGGTTAGATTTGCAAGTGAAATTAATTGCATTGCATGAATGGACGAACGGATGTATGGATGAATCGATGGATAGATATATAAATGGTGTAATAGGCTGCACGATATTGTAATGGTTAAGGTGCTTGGCATCGTTGTTGTAGTGACTGCGTTCGAATTCAATCAAATCCCGCAAGTGTTTGTATGTATTCATTAGTTCTTAAGTTGAGATTTTTGGCAAGTTTTATATTTCATGATGATTTTTCATGATTGTATGTTCATTGTTTATGTTAAGTTCTATTTTTGGTGCCATTTGTATAGGCTAAATTATTTGTTTATGTCGTTGGTTTGAATTGGTTTGAATATGCTTAAATGTTCACATAGGTTTGTTGTTGATGTTCACTTGTTTGTATGTTTGTTGTTCGTTTGTATATATTTCTTCATGCGTTCGCTCATGTGTTTATAATTTTATACGCTGACGTAACGCGGTGTCGAGTGACGTGAACCTGCGTAACACTGATAATAACAACTGCACTGGATGTACGGTGCTGAACGCGCTGGCTGGCAATTTTGATGACGATGATGAAAATGGTGATGATGAAGATGATGAAGATGATGATGATGACACTTTCTGTTCATTTTATTATATTATAATGGTGAATATGTAGATGATTTTGATGGTGTCAAACATTAAAAAAGTACTTCGCGAAGCAGCAAAAATGATGATCGCTTTGGTCGGCGATGTTTGGCGATTATAATTGCACTCGTAATGATGGTGACGTGACGTCTGTGTTTTCATCTTGCATCTTGCTAGTCTTAGTGTTTTCATCTTGCCAGTCTTAACTCAACTATGGCATCTTACTTGATGGTGAAATCCACAATATTTATTTCATATTTCGCAGTACACTTCGGCTTTGTTCTTCTATTTTTTTTTTCATTTTAAAATCAAACTTCTCCTACTTTCAATGTTTAAGAATGGATAAACAGAAACCAATGAAATTTTAGAAACGCACATAAGCACACCAATACAAAACACAAGGGTACATTTAATAACCACCCAACACATACGTCAATAAGTTTCAAGTTGTACACAATTTTAAGCAAGCATCTCCATCTAATACAACGACGATAGGTAATGTTAACTGGTTGTACATTCTTATATATGTATATGTGTTTGTATGAATGTGAGTGTGTGTGTGTGGTGTGTGTGTGTGTGCGTGTGTTCGTATATGCATTCCTTAAGAAAGAAGAATATAAAAATGAAGACAATGTATCTTAATAGAAACAAGATGATGAAATGAAACGTATACAGCCCATCGTTGAAGTGCTCCAATTTTGTGTGTGTGGATGTCTTTGTGTGTCTCTGCGGATGTCTGTGTGTGTCTCTGCGGATGTCTGTGTGTGTCTGTGGATATCTGTGTGTGTCTGTGGATATCTGTGTGTGTCTGTGTGGTTGTCTGTGTTTGTGTGTGTGTGTGTGTGTGTGTGTGTGTGTGTGTGTGTGTGTGTGTGTGTGTGTGTGTGGTTGTCTGCATCTACATGCTTGTTCTTATGAATAATTGAATAAACACTTCAACAACATTTTATGGAGGAAGCTTCCAC